GGGCCGCGCCGCGGGGGCTCAGGGAGGGTGGCTGCCCTGTCGCCCTCGGTAGGGCCTTGCCCCGGGGTGCGCTCCGGGCTGGGGCTCTGCGTGTGTGGGGGGGCCTCTGTGTGGGGAGGCTGTCGCCTTGCCTGGCGCAGCTTGTCGCGGCCTGGCCTGAGGGAGGCCGGAGGCTCCAGTCAGCCCGGGGGCAGGGCGGGAGGCGGCCGTAACGGTCGGATCCCGCGGAGAAAGGCCCGCTGCGCAGTTCTGGTTGAGGCGGCTAAACCTGTAACGCTTACAGCTGCCTTTTGAGCGCACAGGCTTAACGTCTTTCGTAGATTCATCCTACTGGGAAGTTTTTCGTGCTTTCGGATGGAGAAGGAAAACATACGACTGTGGAGCTGAGCGAACCTGTAAGTTAAGGAAGCCTTTAGAAGTACCTGATGTTGCCTCTTGTGGATACCGGCGGTTTTGTCGCTTATGAAACCTGTGCATGCCTTGCATGTATTGAGTTTTCAGTCAGGAAAAAAAAAACAATCCCTTTCCACCTATGTTTCATTGCCTCTGTTTCTTACATCTTCCAGCTAACTTGCAGTGTTTGTATTCATGAACTGCCTTTGTCTTCACCTATTTTCAGCAGGTATTAAGAGAGAGAACTCATTCCTTGTCAGACACATCCCTGTCTGGCTACTTCGTCTTACTCTATTTGTTGTTTGCAGTGTAATATATTCTACTACATGTATTAGCTTTATTTTAATTTCACTTTTCCCTCCCTTTTCTTATTGCCTTTATCTTTATATGCCTAACAGAATATTTTGTGAAGATAATCCAAAAAACCCAAGAATATGGTATTCTCAAGAGTTTTTTGAGTTGACATTTCTGTATCTTCTTAGAACACTTGTCATAGCATTCCACTAAACTTCATAGTTAGCTTGAAGCATTCTTTCTTAAAAAAATTAAAAATCGAGCAATTAATGCAATGGGTATAAGATATGCTTATAACTACTGCACAAAACTATTGCTTCCTTTGTTATCACGTACCACTAAAGGAATAACACCCTGGCATTCTCTAGCTGCAATGTTGGGCACTTCACAGTCTGTGTTCCACTGCTGTAGGAGAAACTGGTGTGTGCAGAAGAAACACGCCAGGTTTATCTCTCTGGTTTGCCTAATGACAATGGAGGAACTTCTAGATTTGCTAACCAAAATGCTTTCTAACTTTTTTCCCCTTTAATAGATTCCTTTGTTTGCGTGTGTGTAGTTCCTCCTTTCAACAGAGAAACCCCAAATTATGGGGAGGGGAGGGAATCTATTGCTGTGTTCCAGAGACTTACTAAAAAGTTAAAAGTAAGAGTTAGATATTGGAAGAACAGTACTGAAATAGCACCGCACTCTTAAAATTAGTATCTTAAAACAGAAAGAAAACAGGTTCAAGCTATATGATTTTGGAGTAAGATAAAATTTTTAGCCTTTTTTTTTCTTCCCCCTTGTTCAACCAAAGGCTTGTTATTGTCAATGTCTTTGTATTCTGAACACTTACTGACGGATTACTTAAGAAATAATTATACCTCCTGAATCTGGAATACTGGAACTGCTCTCTGGCATGCGTGATACCTCCTTAGCTCTTACCAAGTTCTCCAATTTACTCAGGTTTGAATGCAGTGCCTTAAAATCTGGATTCTTCTGCTCTCTGTGTCCTAGATTAGTCTCTGTTCAGTGATTAAATGACACAGTTTTCTATACTTATAAACTGGTATCTTCCCTCTGATGCTGCTTCGTATATTTTTTGTGTCGGTACTGAATTGGCTGTTACAAAAGCTGTAAATCTGTAAGTGGCTCAAGGCTTTTGTGGGTTTTTTTGGGAGGGGACAGGGCTGTTCAGTAGTACTGTATTGTTTGACATGGAATGGAATCTGTTATGAACAAACTGTCAGAGTTCCTTGCTTAAGTGCTGTACAGTAGAGACAGCAGCTAATTTAGTGATACTAATTTCATGTTTGGTATGTTTTCTAGCTAGATGAAGAGATCTCAGGAGTTCTTGAGGTAGTGGGAAGAGTAACAAATCAGGCAACCATCATGTGCATGTCATATGTCCAGTTCAGAGAAGATAAAAGTCCATTTGGTAAGTAAGAATACACATTATGACAAATTCATTTTGAGTTCTGAACTCTTCTTCAATAAGTAAGAAGGGTGTTTCTGATTTCAGCTGGAATAGAGTTAATTTTCCTCCTAGTAGCTGGTACAGTGCTGTGTTTCGGATTTAGGATGAGAACAATGTTGATAACACACCCATGTTTTAGCTGTTGCTAAGTAGTGCTTATGCTAGTCAAGGACTCTTCAGCTTCCCATGCTCTACCAACTGAGAAGGCTGGAGGTGCACAAGAAGCCGGGAGGGGGCACAGCCAGGACAGCTGACCCAAACTGGCCAAAGGGACATTCCATACCATGTGACGTCATGCTCAGTACATAAACTGGGGGGAGTTGGCTGGGGGGCGGCGACCACTGCTCGGGGACTGGCTGGGCATCGGTCGGCAGGTGGTGAGCAATTGCATTGTGCTTCACTTATTTTGTATATTCTTTTATCATTATTATTATTTTTTCCCCTTCCTTTTCTGTCCTATTAAGCTGTCTTTACCTCAACCCATGAATTTTACTTTTTTTTCCTGATTCTCTCCCCAATCCCACTGCGGGGGGAATGAGTGGACAGCTGTGTGGTGTTTAGCTGCCTACTGGGTTAAACCACAACAAAGGAAGAGCTTGATTATTTTTTCTTACAGACAAGGTCTTTCTTTAGGCTGCCAGATATGGAGTAGAATGTAGAAAAGGAGAGTGTCATGGGAAAAAATTTGTACAAAATATGCTGTTTTACTGTCAAACTGTAGGGACTGACTTAAAGCTGGAGCCAGTGTAGGTCATTGCCATGGTCTGATCATTCTCTCACTCCTGACTGCCTGGTTCTTGCCTTGCACTGGACCTCGTGTGAGTGTGCAGCTAGAAAGCCTAAGAATAACCCTCCAGAAAGTAAGCAATGAGAGTGTGGCTGCCTTGGGAAAACTGGGGAGGGTGACGGAGACAGGGAACACTCAGCTATACTGCTTTAAAATAAGCAATGCTTTAATGCTGTCATTTGCTTGTGGGGAATTTTAGCTTATGCATCATAACCATTTTCTTTGCCCTTTTTCAGATCTGGAACTCTACAATGAAGCACTAAAAATTATTCATGAATTCTCTGAATACTTCCCGTTCGGTACTGGGAGGAACAATTGATTTTTCTTAGCGTATATTTACAGCTTCAGAGGGGACAACAGTACCGTAGCTTTCTTGCCTGACAGCATGATAACAGTTGCATTTATTTCCAACAAATATACTGAAAAGATGCTGCTACATGTGCCATGTATTGCCAGTGAAGAATGTTTTCTTTGAAAATGTACTTATTCAGCAAGAAGGAGAACACTTCTGTGGATATCTCACTGTCTGTATGTATTTAACCCTTCTGCATCCCTGAGGAGTGTTCTCTTGCAGGACTGGACTTGCTAGAAACTGAAGTTTTGTAGGCACCTTTCTGTTGTTGTTGTTGGTAGGGGTTCTAGGATACTTTACAGGAAACTTGTATTGAAGACACTTGGTGGGGTTTTAATGTAAGGTTTTTATTTCATTTGCTTTGATACAAATTTATGGAACATGGGTGGGTATTTTGCATCTTGAAAATGGTCTCTTCTCCAATAAAAAAGATCCGACTACATTTAACTATTTGTGTCAGTATTACATGTTAGAGTGCTGTTTTCAGTGACGTATGGTGACTCCTGTTCTATTTTACCCAACACAGGTAATTTAACAAAGTGGAGTACAAGGTACTTGCCTTTTGCACTTGATGGTAAACACTTGGAAGATGTCTAGTTAGGCTTGGGGACGTCAAGCGCAATTGACTTCCCATCACAACCTTCATTCTTGGTGGGAGTCTAAGCAGAAGTACCAGATTGAGCCAGCTTGTCATGATGACTTCAGCCATATAAACTTCCACCCAAGTGCCCAGTTTTGTTACCATCCAGGCTACTTACAGCACGTAGCAGAATTCTTACATCTCTTAAGGTAACACAATCAAAGTAAAATCTAACTTTGGAAACACTCTCTTGTGAATTAATAAATAAAATATTTCAAAGTATTTCAAATAAACCTTAGCCATGTTCATTAACCTTTCATACAAACAGGTTTCAGGTTTAATAGCTAGCTTTGTGCTTATTTATAGGTATCTCCATTTTCAGTCAAGGAATTTATGTTTTACAGACTTCTTATTGATCAAAGTCACTACAAATTGGGTGGATGATCAAGTTAACAGGTGATCTATTTTTTTCCCCTCTCTTCTTAGAAGACAGACAATGACAAAGTTACTGTCACTGGGAAGGAGGAGGACTTCTGAAGTAGGAGTCCGTCTCATGCAGCAAACAAGAACATGAGGTCCACGTGGCATGACACCATGCTCTGTCCTGTAGTGCTATCACAGCTATATTTTAGTGTTCAGTAGAATAAAATGTCATTCTTAATAACTCCATGCATGCTTTCCTAGCATTTAAAAGTCTTTTGTACTATTCTACTTCAGAAAATTGGTATTTTGTGCATGTACGTATATTCTGTAAAATGTTAGGTACAGTTAGTTACCAAGGCTATCCAGGCCCAATAAAATAGTCTACCGCTAGATGGCTGTAGCACTTACCCCCATACAGAGACCAGCCTTGGGTCTGTGGTCTTGTGTGTAAATGTTTGAACACATCCCAGTGGTAAATGCTAGTTTCCCTTTGTCCGTCAAGATGACTCTAGTTCATCCGGCCCCGCAGCGATGATACCTGGCTCGGCAAGCAGTATACAACTGCAACTTTCCGCTATGTGCTTTTCATTCATCTGCTTCTCTATAGGCTATCAAGGTTTGTGAATAAATGGCCTACCCTGGCTATGTGGCTATGCTGACAAGCAGCAATGCAAGGAACTGTACGATATTCTTGATATTAAAGTCATGCTCAGGTCATACACATATTTACCAGGACAGCAATGCGGGAAACTGCCAGCCGTTTCAGATACCCAAGGGAAATGAATAACCACGGGGCCTGCTAACCCTGAGTTGGGACTGCACTGACAAGATGAAGGTGCGAGAACCTGCCAGACCTTGCAGATAGTAACACAGGAAACAGCAGCTTCGTGGGTTGCTGGCTGAAGGGGAGTCACCGGGGCAACTGCATCATAAGCACCAAAGAGGAATGTCACCAAAACCAGGGCCAGCAGCCAGGCCAGTAATGGAAGGTGTGAATAGGAGCTGGCGGCTTCTTTGGGAGGACGTGAGGGTGGTAAGGGGTGGGAGCTGGGAGAGGAAAGGAGGGTATGAAGTGAGTGACATAATCGGGGCTGGCTGGGAGAGGTTCCCGCCGTTTGCAGCAGGACAGCGAGCCTACTGCTCCTACCACACTTGTGACTGACTTCTGGGACCTGGCACCTTTTTCCCTGCCCTTGCTAAGGGAATGTTTGGAGCACCCTTCCTAACGCTGGCATGGGGGAACTGTCACGTTGCCTTCTCCTCCTGTAACATCTGGCATAGCGAGCAGGATCCTGATCTCAGCAAGCATAACTGGAAAAAACGAATCTGGTACCGAAGGCGTGTCTGCCAGAGGCATGGGGAAGCACAGATTGGGCGAGATAGCGGTTGGAAAGGTGGAGAGGGGATTGGGCAGGTCCCACACTGGCCTTCCTTGGCTGCAGTGGAGGTTAGGCTTTAGCAGAAGCTGGTGACTAAGCACTTCAAAACCAAGAGGCAGCTTAAGGCTAGCAGCCTGCCTTATTGCAGGGGCTGCCAGGCAGTCCAGTCTTCATGAAATACTGTTTGGAAGTTGGAGAGCTGTTTTGAGAAACAATTCTTAAACCGTCAGTCTGTTTTAGCTGTCCAGCAGGCTAAACTGCAAATAAAAATTATAAAACGGACGTGATGAAGAGTCTTATTTAGGGAACCTACACACGGGATGAAGGAATCTCTTCCCTTTGGGAGGGCAATAGCGCAGCAGCACCCCACCGGCCCTTGCGTGGAGTCATGAGAGATTGCCACTATAACAAGGGCCGTGCTGCAATACAGGTGCCCCCGCTTTCTCCAGCCAAACCTCTCCTTGGAGCGTCTGGTGGACATGGAAATCGTCACTTGGTGGTTGAGAGTCACTCCTGCTCAAAGCCCTGTAGCAGCGGAGCAGAAGGACTCCCAGGTAAGGAAGCTGGGAGCAGCCCTCCTCCTGGGCAAGCAAGCTACTGGGACTTCCCTCCCTGTTGACGGCCCAGAAAGGGAATGGTTTTATGTCCCAGTTGGTTAAGGTACAGAAAGCAGTCCACGAGTCTGAAATGGAGGAACAGACTAAAATTTGGCAAATTCTCTTGGGGAAATTCAGTTCTAGTGGGGAACCCGAGGAAGGGCACCAGAACGGTGCTGTGCAGCGAAGTACCGTGCAGGAACCTAGGGCTGCACACAGGAGACGGGGAGAAGCCTTGTCAGGGGTGTCACCGCAGACTTGTCTGGCAATCGCTGGACTCTCGGCTGACCCTGGTCACTGTCACCAGACCTGCTCTGCTGTCCTCACTCGGGCATGGACACATGCACAACTCATGTTGTGCTCATGTGCAAGCAGAGAAAGTGCTTGGGCTTAATTAGGGAAGGGAGGCAAGGCTGGAGCATATAATGAAATGAAAATAATTAATGTAATCAGTGTGAACCATAGGGTGAAAACATTGTAGCACGCAAGTCAACCGTCATCTAGTTAACTCTATCAGAGTTGAGCAGATCAGAAAAACGGTAAACATAAAAGTACCTGCAGCTAAGAAAATGTTTGTAGCTATACTTTGTTAGAAGACAACAAAACATCCCCAAAATCACAGCTTTATTAATTTAAAAGCAAAACAAGGAAGAAATCTCATCATTAAAAAACATACACCTCTTGCTTTGTAAATTTTGCAAATAGTGTCATTACTGGCCTGAAAGCCTCATTACCAATTACAACAGCCAAAACTGATAGCTATACTGTGCCAGAATATGCACACATTCATAATCCAAAACATTTCAAAGACATGCTGAGTATCAAAGTAAGCATCTAACTTAATGAAATGACAGAATTTGACACAAACACGTATAGTCAAGTCGAAAATGTTATAAATGAGTTTTCTTTACATAAGAAAATGAGACATTGTAAGTTAGTAGTTGCATTCACCCGGACATGGAATTTATTGGGAAAATTTACTAAACATTGTTACTACAGAGGAATAAAAACATATCCTTGACACTTACAAATCCTCATTTCCATAAAGCAAAAGTTTTATTGCCTGTATTTATATAACTAGGGTATCATACATTAAACCCCAGCTTACACTTATAAATGGAGAACATTTTGAAGAGCTCTTCAACAGCAACATGAAGTGTGCAAAAATACTGGAAAGAGAAATAAATATTCTAACAAGAAAAAAAAGTAACTGCTCTCCCATGCCCGCAAATATCAAGTACCTCTTAGATTTTTAACTTAAAAAAGATCCTTGTCAATCAGGCAAGAATTTTAGATCAGAATAAATGTAGCAGATGTATTACAACATTAATGCTACATCAGAAAATATAACCCAAAGTCCTGAACGTAATCATGTACGTCTACAGAAAACGTCTCCACGTTCTATCTTGTTGCAACTACACTAGAGCACTTAGAACTAGTGGTATATTACAATATATTCTCTTTTAAAACACCAATTTTCACAGTCCTGGCAATACGGTACCAGTTTATTGCTAGCATTCCATTTAGTATTTCATAGCACGCAAGTGTTAAGTAACTCATATACTGTTTCTACTAGTAAATAAACACACACCAAGTAAACTGATGTTGTTATCACATACCTTAAAACAGGTTTTTTTTTCCCTAATTTGTGTGAATTTTGTTGCCTACAAAATCAAGGACAACAATACCGATTAGCTCCTAGCACAGTATTAGCAAAATACTGACTCTCTCTCAAGTTAATAAATAATCTGAATTCCAGCTGGTAACATATCTAGAGCTACTTCTGGTCAATGACCTAAAATCGTGCAGCCTTTTTGGGAGCAGACCGGTGTCCGCTAGTGACCAGAAGCGGGATTTATACAGCTTGATTTCACACTTCCCAGCATATTTCAGAAGTACAGGGAAATGCTGATTATCCAAAAGTCTTCAAATATTTTTGTAGTCAAAACTCAGCATGTAGTTTAAAACTTAAATATTTACAAGTCTCCAGTCCTTGAGATTTCAGATCTTCACAGTACTACGTTAAAAACTAATCAATCAAACGAAACCTCCTATAGTTTACCTGCACTCTGCACTGAAACAGACACATGACTTTTCAGGGAACTCTTCTCTAGGATATAGACATCGCTAGGAGGCAAAACCCCCAAATTCTTTAGCATTAAAATTCACATCAGCTAGGTATGTAGGTAGATTAAATAAGACCTTGAATTGCAAAGATATTGCTTTACTATTAACAAAACTTGAGAACAGAAAGAAATGGATTTGTCTTTAAAATAAAAATCTTTAGAATACAATTAACAGTGGCACTTTGAATGAACTTACAAGGAAACAATCATTTGCATACAAGAAAGTGTGATCAAACAATGAACAGAGGAATCCACAGCATCACTTTGCGATCTTCTGAAGAACACTCTTCAGCTGTTTATTTTGAAGGCCCACTTTCACAGCATATTCGCTGTGAACAC